ATCTGGGAGAGGGGAGAGGGGGGAACGAAAATATATGTATATATACAATTTTCTCTCGTTTTATACAAACACAAACGCATTTTATACATTTGCATTTGCATTTGTATAAAAGCGAGAGAGGCGAGGGAGAGACTACCGAGAGTGGCGAGCGAGATTCACCAGGAGAGAGGTGAAATAGCAATAGTTTGCTATGAGGTACAATTAAATCAAACTATATTTATAGCATTTAATTTGAATTAATAGTTTGCTATTATGTACAATTTTCCCAAAAAATTAAAGATCCAATGGGCCATTTTATCATTGAAAAGAAAGAGAATGTACACGTACAACCCAAAATAAACAAGGGAAATTTGTATATAATAATAAATTAATAATTCAAATTAAATGTCATAATCACAGTCTGATTTAATTGTACCCCAAAACTGTTGTTATTTCGCCTTTCTCCCTGGTGAATCTCGCTCGCCACTCTCGGTAGTCTCTCCCTCGCCTCTCTCGCTTTTATACAAATGCAAATGCAAATGTATAAAATGCGTTTGTGTTTGTATAAAGCGAGAGAAAATTGTATATATACATATATTTTTGTTCCCCTCTCCCAGATCTCGCTCGCCACTCTCACTCGCCTCTTTCACTTTATACAAACAAAAATGTATATTGCGTTTGTGTTTGTATAAAGCGAAATAAAATTGTATATACAAATACATATATTTTCGTCCTATACACTTATGATTATACAAATAGAGATCTTCCCCTGCCCAAATTATACAATTGCTTCTTTTGTATATATGTGTAGCGAAATATACATATTAATAGTAATAGCAAACATAAAGTTTGTTATGGAGCGCAATTATGCAAACTATAGCTATATCATACAAATATAATTTTTGTGTTTGCTATATGTGAAAGTTGCTCAATAAACAACATCAAACAAAAGAAAAGAAAAGAAAACAAACTCAAATTAAGAATTAATATACTCTGTATTAAATGAGACTATTACGTTTGGTCAAATTTTGAGGGGTTAAAAAGTGCTAATTTTTAAAAAGTGAAGTGTTTAAGCAATTTATAAAGAGAAAAAATAAGTATTTTTGAGAATAGTAAAAACTGTTTTTTTTTTCAAAAATTTAAAAAGTAGTTTTTTTTAAAAAAAATGCTTGACTTAGAAACAATTTTAAAAAGTTTGGTCAAAGATTAATTTCTACTCAAAAGTACTTTTTAAAAATTATTGATCAAATACAAATTACTTATTATCAAAGATATTTTCTTTTAAAAAACATTTTTCAAAATAAATTAATTTTAGAAATTTGATCAAATAAATCATATAGTTTTACTCAATAAGAAAAGATTTTGCAACGTTTCAAAATTATCCATATGATAAATGAAATATTAAATACAAAAGTATGCATTTGTTGACTTTTTGCCAAATAAATGAGACCTAACATGACAGAGTATTAATAATGTCACAAGCGAAGCTACAAGTCTGGATACAAGGTTCAGCTAAACATAATAATTTTTGCTCAAATAATGTGTAGTCTATTTGTATTGAAAAGTTTACTAAATATATCCAAATATTAAATTTAAAATGCAATTATTAACTCTTGATGAAAATTCTAAATTCGCCTTTAGATAGTAGAGCAACTTTCACATATAGCAAACACAAAAATCATATTTGTATGCTATAACTATAGTTTGCATAATTGTGCTCCATAACAAACATAAATATGTATATTTTGCTATACATATACAAAAGAAAGTAGCTGTATAATTTCGCTATAAATATACAAAAGAAAGCAGTTGTATAATCTGCTTTAATATACATATACAAAAGATCAATTGTATAATCTATGTTTGTATAAAACGAGAAAGAGAGAAAGACAAAAGAAATCTGGGCAGGGGAAGATCGTATTTGTATAATCATAAGTGTATAGGACGAAAATATATGCATTTGTCTTTGTATATACAATTTTCTCTCGTTTTATACAAAAACAAACACAATGTATACATTTGTGTTTGAATAAAGTGAGAGAGACGAGTGAGCGAGCGAGATCTGGGAGAGTGGCGAGCGAGATATGGAAGAGGGGAGAGAGGGGAACGAAAATATATGTATACATACAATTTTCTCTCGCTTTATACAAACACAAACGCATTTTATACCTTTGCGTTTTTGTATAAAGTGAGATAGGCGAGTGAGTGAGCGAGATCTGGGAGAGTGGTGAGTGAGATTTGGGAGAGGGGAACAAAAAAAAATATAAAAAAAAAATATATATATACAATTTTCTCTTGCTTTATACAAACACAAACACATTTTATACATTTGCATTTGTATAAAAAGCGAGAGAGGCGAGGGAGAGAACGAGAGTGGCGAGCGAGATTCACCAGGAGAGAGGCGAAATAACAACAATTTTCTATGGGATATAATTAAATCAAAATATACTTATAGCATTTAATTTAAATTAATAATTTGTTATTATATACCATTTTCCCTTGATAGTATCACTAAAATGTACGCTAAGCATTTCTTCTCCACTAAAGTGACCCGAATCTAAGCGTAACCCTAACTCCCAACTCGTTACAGTCTCCTCACACAGTTGAAATGAAAAAAAAAAAAGGAAAAGGTAAAAGGTAAGTATTTCTCGAAATGCTCCTTTCTTTTTCTTGGTAAAAAAAAAAGGTAAGGTAAAAGTAAGTGGCATTAATGAATTGAAGTAGAAAGAAGGTCCATCTATTGGGTGAGTATCTTTGAGAAATCTTTTTTGTGTCGTCATAGTTAAAAAGAAAACTTATTATTAGTAGCAAAAGAAGAAATATATCTATCTGTCTATCTTATCTCCCACTCGTAGTAATGGAGCATCACAACACAATAGAAGCAAAAATGTGTCCTCATGTGCTCCTCTTCCCTCTTCCAATACAAAGCCCTATCAACTCCATGCTTCAACTTGCCGAGCTTTTTTGCCTCGCCGACTTACAAGTTACTTTCCTTAACACTAATCACAATCAACAGCTTCTCTACCGTCACACCAACGTCGAATCTAGATTCAAGCAATATCCTAAATTTCAATTCCGGACAATTTCCGATGGTCTTCCCGACGATCATCCCCGCTCCTTTCCTATGTTTGAGGACCTTATTAATTCCTTGCAAGCTGTGGCAGAGCCTTTTCTTAGAAAAATATTAACAGAGTCCGGTGTCACGTGTGTTATACCTGATGGATTATTTTATTATGCAGTGGATATTTGTAATGAGGTTGGAGTTTCTGTTATTTCCTTTGATACTATTAGTCCTTGTTGCCTATGGGTTTACCTCTGTTTCCCCAAACTCATTCAAACTGGAGATATTCCCTTCAAAGGTACTTTTCATTTTCGGAAAAAATCTTCATCTTCTTCTATGCCCAAATCAATTTTTGCAACTTGAAAATTTTGTCAAGACAACAGATATTTAAAAATACATTTTCGAAATTTAGAGTTTAGTATTACATCTAGTATGTTTCATTAGCTAGCTTCTTCCAAGTAGAAAACAATTTCATTTTACTTAGCTTCTTAGATGAATTTATGCTATTTTATTTGGAGTTATGTTACTGATCATCTAACAGGCAAAAATTTACCTATGTTGTTAAGGAAATGATTTGGACATGTTGATAGAAAATGTACCTGGCATGGAAGATCTTCTCCGGCGTCGCGATTTTCCATTCTATCGCCTCACAAATTGTGCAACAGACCTCTATTGCCAACTTGCTCTCAAGGAAATCCAAAGTATACCTCGATCCCATGGACTCATATTAAATACATTTGAAGATTTGGACGGTCCATTACTATCTCACATTCGCTCTCATTGTCCACAAACGTATGCTGTTGGGCCGCTACACTTGCAACTCAAAACTAGGCTTGCAGATAAAAGAATGTCCTCTTCAAATAGTTTGTGGGAAGAAGATCACAGTTCAATTCAATGGCTTGATGCACAGCCCATAGAATCAGTAATCTATGTAAGTTTTGGAAGTCTTGCAACTTTGACAAAGGAGGAAATGTTGGAGTTTTGGCATGGGTTAGTAAATAGTGGAATCAGATTTTTGTGGGTCATGAGGTCCGACTTATTGAGGGAAGAAGAGTTTAGCCACCAATTTGTGAAGGAGCTAGCGGCCGGTTGCAAAGAAAGAGCCTACATAGTGAGTTGGGCTCCACAAGAGAAAGTACTATCGCACCCAGCTATTGGTGGATTTTTAACTCACAGTGGATGGAACTCGACCATGGAAAGTATTGTTGAAAGAAAGCCTATGATCTGTTGGGCTGTTTATGTGGACCAACGAGTCACTAGTAGATTTGTGGGTGAGGTGTGGAAAATTGGGTTGGACATGAAAGACATTTGTGACAGAGACAATATTGAGAAGGTGGTGAAAGATTTGATGGTAACAAATAAGGATAAGTTGAAGAAATCGGTTGACAAGTTATCTATGTTGGCAGAAATTAGTGTTGGAGAAGGAGGTTCATCGTACAATGCTTTTGAATATCTCGTCGATGACATTAAAAAGTTAGGCAGAAGAGACAAGGATATCAATCCTAACTGCATAGGATAAACAGGGTAATGCTACCAATCATTATTTTGTAGACAAAGATTATATTATTTTCTTCTTCTTTTAGCGGATACTACAAGTTATTCATACAGGTACACTAGATGAGATAAAGCCCGCGTTAGCATGGGTCTAGCTCAATGTTAGTGTATAAAATTGTATGTTTGGCCTTTTAAATAGGTTCCTCTTTAAAAATTGAAGTCATGTCCGACTTAATTTTTCGTGCTCAAGTATAAACTAGTATTTGATAGAAAGACTTTTGCGACAAAACAAGCTGGTCATAGATCTAGTCCACTTCACACTTCTAAAATGTTATGTCCCAACTTTATGACTGACTGGTTTGTTCTTAATTCTCAGCTATCCTAGTTTCCAGATTCCCTGTGATCTCTATAAATCTGGAAATCTCTCCCCGGGCTTTGATTTTGCAGTCCAAATTGGAGACCAAAAATCTAATTCTCCTGCCATCTCCAACTTTAATAAGTGCATGTTTGAGAGAATATCTCTCACCCTTTGCTATTCTTGTTTCAATAGACTCATTCCAAGGGATGTGATCGTTTGAAACTAGTCCCTTTATGCTGTTGTTGGCTGTTCTCTCAGAAACATCAATTTGGTATTGCAAAATTCCATGACTGCTTCTTGTCTGGTGTCTCAGTTTTGTGCTGCCAAAATACCTCCTCCCTATCTTGGCCTTAGCTTCCATGCTGTAAGATGAATTAACTTCCCTCATCCAGAGAACCTTGTAACCAATTGTTCACTTTTGCTGGAACTTCAAATATTAAGAGATCACTGTGGTTTGGAATGGCTCTAACACACTGTTTATCAAGGCCAGCCTGCCTGCCTCCAGAGGATAGATACCGCGTTTTCCATGTGGCTTAGCCTTCTTTTAAAAAGAAAAATCCACTACTTGATATTCGTTGTAGTTGTTCTTTTATGTTTTGCTCCTAATAGCATTCCTAGCTTTGATTTAGGTATTATGCCTTAGGATTCCTGCTGCTGAATGTTTACTAAAGTTCACAGAGACATAGAATTGCAGAAATTTAGCAGAGAGGAACAAGTTTTTGTTGTCATCAAGCTCCATGCCCTCATTGACAAACAGTCGACAAGTGTATACATCATACCTTAAATTTCTATTATTCAACAACGTATATTGATGCTTTTCTATCCATTCATGAACAAATGTTTGAGCAATTAGCTTAACTTTCCTATTTATTTTGAAATCTAGATATTGTGAGTGCATATTGTTTTTTGGGAATGTTGAGTTATCATTGACAATAAATCTAGCATATACCTCCAGATGTTCATGCCCTTTCTCCTTACCAATGTATAAAGTGAGATGTATGCAGACTTTATCACTATCCTTATAACTTCATTTTTTTAAAATCATGACATGAATATCATTTATAACCTCAGCTAAGCATTAATAAAATGTGGATCTTCGAATATGCTCCAGGATATTCTAATCAATTCGTAATCACTTAATTTAAGATTTAAATATGAAAAATTAATTGAGATGTGCGTAAACTTATCCAACATTGTTATTGTTTAAAAAATATAATTGTATGAAATAAGGAGCATTAGCTAGACTTCAGAACATGAAAAAGACTTAAAACGTTTTCAATGAGATCTTGAATACTCTAAACGTATAAGAATTTTCCAAGCATCACCACAAACGTCAGCCCATATCTTAAGACTAATTATAAGATCGTATTAACACCTTTTTATAGTATAGATTAATAAAGCGGAGTTGAACATGCCCATTCGCCTTATTTAGAGAGTTATTTTAGTCAAAGTCTAGCTATAAAATATCAAATCTTGAACACTCTTAACGAAATTGCTGACTTTGTCATTGAATACAGTGACTAATTGTGAAAAGTTTGTTTTGCTTTTTTTCTCCTTTGGCTTCACCGTATAAGTAGCATCAATTGATACTTTCATTTAAATAGCAATTGCAAGTGTAACCGAAAAATCTTATCCTCCTTGGACCTTTTCTATGAATAAACAACATATTAAATTTTAAATTCTTTGTGACAGAAGCAAACATTTCCTTAATCAACACACAAAATTGAGGATTACGACTTTGAATTTAGAAACGCTCTGCTGTCGACATCCAGATAAGCAATTTGGGTGGGACTTTATGATAATCTTAAACGTAAGGCCGTTTATACTTAAGTTATATGTACAAACAATTTATTTAACATTGAGTATATAACATGTTATTTACTTATATATATTTTTTTACGTTATCAAATAATGTTTACTATATACAATTGCCAATTTTACAAGTAAACTAAATTAGATTTAAAACTCTGTACATATAATATTAAGTCTTCCCATAAATCATAATCATACCACGCCAAAAAAGCATAGTCCCACTAGCCTTAGATTATCACAAACCAAAGAAAACTCAACTCCCCATTGCCCCTCCAATATGTCAATATTTTACAACAAAAAAAAGTCGGCTTTCATTTCTTTTCTTGCTTTCTAATCAGAGCCAGATAGAATTTTGTCGTGATGGAATTGAATAACTTCTTTCCCACTTCGTCTTTTACAAAAATATTTATCTTCCCATAGTAAGGTACAATCATCACACACGCACAGTACAATACCAATCGTTTGGTACCTAGGATAATGGTGAAATATTTTAAATTTATAACGCATGATCATGTGAGATAAGTTAGTTCAATTTCGAAAGAATTTGATCCACATATATCAAATGATCCCTTTATAGAATTATAGAAAAATCATACCATGGATTTAGTGGAAACCTTAAATAATTCATGGCGGGTCCATATTTGAATTGATAGGTTCAATTTTAGGGATGAAGAGGTGATCAGTTGAATATTTAAACTAGGTATATAGTTCAATATTATTTTTTTATACATTTATTTTAAAATACTTCGAGTGAAATTTTTAGTTTCACCATTATTCAACCTTTGCGTTTTTATCATTAACTACAACAAATAACACAGCCAATGTAATCTGATAAATGGGGTCCGAAGACCTTATCACAAATTATTTTTAAAATTAGAATTTTCAAAATTAAATATTTGAAATTCAGTTTAACCGGTTAATTATACACTAGATAGGGCACTAAATAAAAGCTTTTCTAGTACATTTCCACAAATTCACACGCACACGCACTAACAAAAAAGTTAGTTCGTGGTCCATATAATTATACCAAAATATAAGTGGAGGAACCATAGTACCAAAAAAGAACAGAAAAAAAAGAGAATGGGTAACAACATAGGAGGAAGTACGAAGGTGATGAAGATTAACGGCGAAATCCTTAAACTGAAGACACCAATAACAACTTCAGAGGTAGTTAAAGACTACCCAGGTCATGTTTTATTGGAATCAGAAGCAGTGAAGAAATTTGGGATTAGAGCTAAGCCATTAGAGGCAGAACAAGAGCTGAAGCCGTGCAAAATATATTTTCTTGTAGAATTGCCTCTGTTTCCTAAACAAGAAATTACTAGTAATAATAAGGTTACAAGAAGGGTGAAATCTGATGTTCATATGAACGCACAAGATCGGCTGGAGTGCCTTATGTTAAGCCGGAGATCGGCTTCGGATTTATCGATTTCGAAGCCGAGTAATGGAGCTGTTGTTCAGCTGAAGATGAAGCTGCCCAGAAGTGTAGTACAAAAGTTGATTGAAGAAAGCAGAGATGAAACAGAGGTTGCTGAGAAAATTATGGATCTTTGTATGCACAATTCCTAAAACTTACCTACTCGTTTTTTTCCTTAATTGGTTTGCATCTTTTTTGTTTGGTCACTATAAACAATAGGCTCAAAATCTAATTTCAAGAATTGCATATAGTTTTACAGAAACTTGTGCTTGTTTGCTGTTTATTTGCTGTTAGTATTGTTATAATTAGTATTGATCTTCTTTGTTCACTCTTTTTTTTTTTTGTTTATTTAACATTTTTATTCTGTGTTAATGGATAGATTAGTGGTTTAGCTGAGGATTGAGATCATTTGAGACCATTCGTCAAGGATGACAAATATTCTTGTAGCCCTTATCCATCCCACTTCTATTTTGTTTTTTTCTCTCCCTCCAAATTTATTTGATTCCACTCCACTACGTTTAATTTTGTCTTTCGGTTTGGCCGTTATCATGGGATAAAAGTCTCCGTACATTTTATTTGTAGGATTATATTGGATTTATTATTATTGTTATTGTCGATGTAATTTATCAGAAACAAACTATTTATCTTCTTTATATAGGAAGGTGTGTGTATACGAGAGCTTTTATTCAATTTGATGTTATTGTTGAGTTGTTGTGTTATGAAAGAATCTATTTAATGCAAAAAACAACAACTATATTTGGTATAATTACAAGGTCCTTTTTATTTATATACTAGATTGTGTTACCAGAAAAATAAAATCCTTGTCTAGATTGCATTATCATCGGAAAAAAAATAAAAAATCCCTGACTGTGTATGAACGAAAAAATAACCATAAAAGAAGGTATTTTTCATGCTAAAGTAGATAGAACTTCATGGTCATAAACCTTAGAAAAGAATTGAAAACTTTGTAAATTAATTGAAGAATATACCTTTGAACTATGATAGTTATGTGTTTGATATTTTAAGATGGTGTATGGAGTATCTTTTATCATCAAATAATGTACTTGATTTTATTTATTTTTTACCCAAAACTAAAGACCCTACCCCTTTTTCAATTTTAAACCCATGCTTCAGTTTCAACCTTTATCTGCCCTTTCCTAAGCAAATTGTACTTCCCGATCCCTATTTTACCTACTGTTTTCAGCCGTATTGGTTGCAATTGGTCTTCAAAGCGAATTCATTTTAACAACAAATTCATTTGAGCTCGAGGTTTTTGATTCAGTGGCAGACCCATTTTAGAATTTAAAGTTTTGTTCGTCAATGGTTATAGTATTTTCAACCTTTTTTTTGACAACAAATGATCTTCGAAAGTTTTCATTCGATTGCAAACTCAATTTAAAGCCTGAAGCTTGTTCATCAAAGGTGAGGTAGTATTTCCAATCCGTTTCAGCAACTAATTAATATGAACCAAAAATTGAAATCGAATTTCTTGTTTTTCATTGAAAACACATGCTGCTGTATTTTTTTATTTGGAGATTGATTGTAAATGAAGATGAATTAAACAACATTTTTTTCTTTGTTTGATTTAATAGGTTTTGGGTTTATGTTTGAATGGAGATAAAGGGATAGCTTTTTTTTTTTTTTTAATGTCATTGTATTTTATTAGAGGATATTGAAAATGAATGGATTCTTTTAAAATTTTGAACAAAAATATAAATAAAATTGGCGTTTCCATCTGTTATCCATGAGGTATACACAATTCAAAAAATGGACATAAAAATAAGATATACCTATCTTAATGGATATTGCCGTATCATTTATCATAATTTGAGATATATTTATCTTTTTTCTTTGATCAGATAAGAAGAATAAAAAAGAAGAAGTGACATTAATAAATTGAAATAGAAACAAGGAAAGCTGCACCAACTCCATTTATTAATGGAATCCTAGGCTGAGTATCTTTGACAAATCTTTTTCTGTCGTCATTCTTAAAAAACTTATCAGTAATAAAAGCAAAGGAGCAGCTATCTATCTTATCTCCCATTCCCCCACCCAAGGACTTTGCTTACAAGTAATGGATCATCACAACACAGTAGAAGAAGCAAAAATAATGTGCCCTCACGTTCTCCTCTTCCCTCTTCCAATACAAAGCCCTATCAATTCCATGCTTCAACTTGCTGAGCTTTTTTGCCTCGCCGGTTTACAAGTTACTTTCCTCAACACTAATCACAATCAACAGCTTCTCTATCGTCACACCAACGTTGAATCAAGATTCAAGCAATATCCCAAATTTCAATTCCGGACAATTTCCGATGGTCTTCCCAAGGATCATCCCCGGTCGTCTCTTCTGTTTGGAGACCTTATTACTTCCTTGCAAGCTGTGGCAGAGCCTTTTCTTAGAGAAATATTACTTGGAGTTACAGAGCCCCCTGTTACATGTGTTATACCTGATGGATTATTTTATTATGCAGTGGATATTTGTAATGAGGTTGGAGTTTCTGTTATTTCCTTTGATACTATTAGTCCTTGTTGCCTATGGGTTTACCTCTGTTTCCCCAAACTCATTCAATCTGGAGATATTCCCTTCAAAGGTACTTTCATTTTTGTTATTGTATTTGGAGTTATGTTACTAATTTATGGCCATCTAACAAGCAAAAATTTACCTAGGAAATGACTTGGACGTATTGATAGAAAATGTACCTGGCATGGAAGATCTTCTACGGCGTCGCGATTTTCCATTCTATCGCCTCACCAATTGTGCAACGGACCTATATTGCCAACTTGCTCTCAAGGAAATCCAAAGTATACCTCGATCCCATGGACTCATATTAAATACATTTGAAGATTTAGACGGTCCGTTACTCTCTCTTATTCGCTCTCATTGTCCACAAACGTATGCGGTTGGACCGCTACACTTGCAACTCAAAACTAGGCTTGCTGATAAAACAATGTCCTCTTCGAATAGTTTGTGGGAAGAAGATCACAGTTCAATTCAATGGCTCGACGCACATCCCACAGAATCAGTAATCTATGTAAGTTTTGGAAGTCTTGCAACTTTGACAAAGAAGGAAATTTTGGAGTTTTGGCATGGATTAGTAAATAGTGGAATCAGATTTTTGTGGGTCATGAGGTCCGACTTATTGAGGGAAGAAGAGTTTAGCCACCAATTTGTGAAGGAGCTAACGGATGGTTGCGAAGAAAGAGCTTACATAGTGAGTTGGGCTCCACAAGAGAAAGTACTATCCCACCCAGCTATTGGTGGATTTTTAACTCACAGTGGATGGAACTCGACTATGGAAAGTATTGTTGAAAGAAAGCCCATGATCTGTTGGGCTGTTTATGTGGACCAACGAGTCACAAGTAGATTTGTGGGTGAGGTGTGGAAAATTGGGTTGGACATGAAAGACATTTGTGACAGATACATTATTGAGAAGGCGGTGAAAGAATTGATGGTAACAAATAAGGATAAGTTGAAGAAATCGGTTGACAAATTATCTATGTTGGCAGAAATTAGTGTTGGAGAAGGAGGTTCATCGTACAATGCTTTTGAATATCTCGTCAATGACATTAAAAAGTTAGGAAGAAGAAACAAGGATAGCAATCCTAACTGCATGGGATAAACAGGGTAATGCTACCAATCATTGATTATATCATTTCTTGTTCTTTTATTGGATACTACAAGTTATTCATACAGGTACACTAGATGAGATAAAGCCCGCGCTACCATGGGGTCGAGCGCAATGTTAGCGTATAAAATTGTATGTTTTGCCTTTTAAATAGGTTATTTTCTAAAAATCAAAGTCTTGTCGGATGTAATTTTTGAAGTATTATGATACAGCTCGAAAAAGTGATTAGAGCCACAAGCCTAACTATCAGCCCTTAAGGCTACCAACCTCTGTTTCCTAGAGAAGAAATTAGTATTGGTAAGGTTACTAGAAGGGTGAAATCTGCTGTTCATATGAGCGCACAGGACCGGCTGGAGTGTCTTATGTTGAGCCGAAGATCGGCTTTGGATTTGTCAATTTCGAAGCCGAGTAATGGAGCTGAAGATGAAGCTGCCTAGAGGTGTTACAAAAGTTGATTGAAGAAAGCAGAGATGAAACAGAGGTGGCTGAGAAAATTATGGATCTTTGTATGTCCAATTCCAGTCATGACAGTTAGTTTCTTTGCTTAATTGGTTTGCTATAGGGTCAAATTTAGTTTCTAGAATTGCATATAGTTTTACAGGAACTTCTGCTCTATCTGTTTATTTGCTGGTAATGTTGTCATAAAAGTACTATTGATCTTCTTAGTTCCATTTTTTGGTAGGAAGGAAAACATTTTTCAATTTTTCCTTAATTTTTTTTTAAAAAAATGACTTACCTCCAATAAATAAGGAAAACTTTTTCTATGGAAACATTTTCTTTCATACCAAACAAAAAAAGTTCTTCAAATTTTCTGAAATTCCTTTTCAATCAAACACCAGCAGAAAAATGGAGACAAGAGGGGTTGCTCATATAGTAAGAAGCATCCTTAACCTCCAACACTGAAGTTGTGGGTTCGAGTCATCACATGGGTGGAAACTCTCACGGAGGTGTAAAAAAGAAAAAAATGTAGAAAAAATAGAGTGTCTTAATTTTTTGTTAAAAACTTTGTGCACTGTGTTAAAGTAGGATTGAAATGAATTAGAAGATAAGATTTTGGTGGGCACACAAAGGTAGTGAGGCTTCAACAAATTGTTTGCTGGAGTGGCCAGAAAGTTGGCCTATCCCCATCAGATGAAACATGTAGGGATTTTTCTATCTCCCTCAGTTAGTTGTTTTCTCCAAGATGAGGAAACAACTAATTTTTCAGTTTCATCTAAGAAAATAATAATGAAATTTATGTTCAGTCTCACATGGTTGAGGAAATGGCTTTTGAGATTGAGCTAAGAATTACTGTTCATTTATACGAGAGATTATTAAGAAAAAATTACGTAAATTTCATGCTTTCAATAAGATTTTTTTTCAGGAGCAGCACTTTGAAACTCTCTGTAATAAATAATCTCCGGTGCACAAGAATCTTTTGTATACAGCAAATGAACTGAATTGATGAAAATTACCAAAACCCTTCGTTTGCATCGATTTATATTAACTTAAATCCTAACATAATTACAACCATCAAACATCTCCAAAGAAAAAAAGAGAGAGAGAAAAGAAGCAGAGTAAAAAGAAGGCAGAAGTACTGAAAAATTGATCAATCGAGCACGAGATTGCCATTAGCATCATATGAAATTTTGCCTGAAAATTCCAAAGGGCGACACTTTTCTCCTTTAATAATAGTCCTCTTCCATAGCGCGTTTTCATCTTCCCAATTTACTTGATAATCATCATCGTCATCATCATCATGTTCCACTTTTTTCCTCCAAGATATCATTTTTACCATCAATAGAGCTTTACTACTTATGCTGCTCTCTAACCTTTCTACTGGCTTTTTACCCCCAAATTGCACACTCTGCCTCTTCTTCTTTTCTCTCTTGTGAAAGCCGCCTCCACATAAAAAGGCCATCATGGATACTTTAACCAAGATTATTGATAGCAAAATGATCAAAAAGAAAAGTAAATAAAGTTTATGACAAACAAAGAAGAGAGGAACAATCAAAGGAAAGAAAATTCAATTTTGCTATGGATGGTTGCTTCCTATGGTTATGGCTTTATACTACTTAAGTAGGCAGAGTGGAATTACTTGTTTTCTACTATTACATAGAAAAGTCAAGTCAATACTTTTACTAGTTCAACATTCAGGGGAATTCCTTCAAGGTAAAATAATTGTTAGCATTTGCCTGGATTTCCTACCTCAGTTAAATTCAACTATAATTGTGTTTTATTTTTAAAAAAGTTCACTTGTTAGAATATAATGTTTTTAGGCCAATTGTTCAAACCATATTAGAATTTTATGCTCTTTTATGGTCATTAAAAGTTCTATAATTATTAGCCTCTGCTGCAGATGTCCTGGTTAATTCGAACCCAACATATATTAAAGGAATTATTGGATATCTCTTTGAGCCTTTTCACCTCTACAAAGTAATTTCCAGTAAAATGTTTAAGTCATTGTTTCTCTAATATAAAACAGGCCAAATTGGTCATTGCATAAAGAAGGTGGCTGAAAATTGACTATGACTGGACTAGTGATCTTCAAAATGAATGGATGTAGGGTTGCCGTGAGTTAAGTGTTAACATGTAAGGTTTACTTGACTCACTGACTTGAGTAGTCTCTGAATAAAAACAAACACTAGAAACATTTTCTTATGTTCAAAGTAAAATTTTGACCACCCAAAATTTGAATGAAAAATAAAGAAAAAAACTTTGAATGACAAATTGCCAATGACCAAAACATAACATGTGCAACGTTGAGTCTATTACCATGCCTAACATAAATTGCATATAACAAATCCATCTTGTTTACCATGCCTAACATTAGATCAAATATGTACTTCTGTTAAAGAGTTTCACTTATTATTTAAGCATATATATAGATTAAATAATTTATCTAAAATTGTCTCTTTTTTTATCCAAAATCCCTACGTGTGTGTGAGAGATCTAGTGCTCGCTCATACGCTGTGTTAAATACAGTTCGGTATCGAATATTGAAAGCACTACTCAACGAACTTATTTAGTAGCAAGTATTGGGGAAACTCTTCATTCTACATGTTACTTATTTATGCTGTACTGACTGCTCTTTTATAGATGTAGTATAATTCAATCCACATCAAGCTTATTTAACCCCAACCAAACTTGATACAAGTACACAAAAAAAAACTAATGCTTATTTAAAGCATCATACATTATATATTATTATTGTCACGCTACAAACAAAGCACCTGATCTTTGTTGAAAGGAAAATTAAATAGGAATAGAGTTGGTGACTGAAGGATAAATGACGGTTGCTGGATGACCCATAATCCGGCGTCCCTTGGAGTGACGGAACACATAAACCAGAGCACCAACCGGCCATTCTACAATTGCTGCCGCAGCAAATGCCAAGAAACCAAGTGTTGGCCCCACCACCTTGCACCTACATATATACAACCATTTCAAATCTACAATATACACATTTTTATCTTTTTTGTAATTAATTATGTTAATAGTCGAAAGTAATACTACTAACCTACAAGGATTGCTAGCATTGCCACACTGCACACAGATCGGAACTCCAACGAAACCCATTTTTTTCTTATCAATTGGCTAAATAGACAGTCAGAGGACCAAAGATGAAGAACAACAAGTCTGCGATTTTTGCAATGTTACACACAAATTTTACTAAAAGGAGCATTGATACAAAATTTGAAGAAGAAGATTTGGGGTATTAATAGGATTGTATCGCAAAGGTGAAAGTATGGATAATGGCGGTGATGTTTATTTTAAATATCGAATTGGACACGTGTTGGCGTCTGAAGATGGAGGCAGAAGACACGTGTTAATTAACTGTAATCTACTGCCACGTGTCCAACGCAAATAGTATAACAATATCATCAAACCCAATATCGGAAGTTAGTGACACGTGTCATAAATTTAATTTAATGATTAAAATTTAAATCTAACCATGATTAACTGTGGAAAGCCTATGAAAGTAGACCTATCAAAGAAGAATAACCTATAAGCCAGAGAATTTAGTCGAATGCAGATTATTTTGTTCAATTTTTTTTATTTTGGTGATTTACAAAAACAGTATCATGTTTAATCAAATCATATATGATATATATCTGCTCCTATGTAATTGCTCGCAAATCATACAGGAGACATAACCCGCGCTAGACAAGTCCGTTGCGACAAGTTTGAAAGTCCCAAGCCAAACCACTAAGTCACCCTTAAAGGTATTTTATTTATTATATTCAAAGGGTGATAAATTAAAATTATTCTTCTATTTATAGTTTCTTAAGAAGTGTACAAAGTCAATATCAGACAAATATTGTTGAAAAGAGAGTAGTACAGTAGAACAATAGAAGTATAATTTGTAGTTACTTTATACATGGAATTTGACCTTTCACCTAAAGGCACATATAAAGCTAGATTCGATTCTCGTGAACTTAGAAGTATAATCTCCTGGCAACTTGATTAAGGAAGTTTTGTGATTTCAAGTGACAACTAATTGAGTCAATAATTACTTCTTAAATTATTCGTTAACAAGATTAATCAACACTAATTTGCATGAAATAAAAACCTATTGGCTATTAACATTTTAAGAATGTCCTTTCTCAAAATAAACTCATAAACCATACAATCATTGTAGCCTTGGATTCCAAATAGAGACTTATGCAACGCAAACACTTTTCAGCCACATGCACCCAAGCTACATTGATGCTCATGATAACTTTATTTATATGTTATTCCTTCGTTTATATATATATAAAGTTATGAATATAAATGTATAGGTTATTTATATTTCACGGTATTAAGAAGATTTCAAATATAGCGCTACATATTATTTTACATGGTTCAATATATTATTTAAATGAACAAAAAAAAATAACAACCATTTTTTAGACTTCGGAATAGAATAGATTCTAAAGTGTAAAAGAAAAAATGTTTCCTTTTGGATCAATATAATGAATTATACTATGGGGTCTCAACGTTACGTTGTTACATTGTAAGTAAAACTTATAACTGTTAATACGATATAAATAATTAACCTGATAGAGTAAAAATAACATAAAATTTGCGGTCAATGGGTATATAGCCTACAAGTCAAGAGTTACTTAGGTTAATATGCTTCAAAACTAATGGATTATTCAAAGTTAACAACAATAATTCTAAAACAAAAAAAGGGTACCATCTTAATATTCCATTAGAGAGGCCACCATCAACTTGCATGGATCCTTTATATCTACCAGAGTGTTCTCCATTTCTGATAACACAATGGCCACAAAAATCTGCTTTTTTCCACCTTTAATCATCCTAACATTATTAACTTTCAGTTCTTCTGGAAATGCTCAAGTGTCTGAAGTAACAACTTCTAATCAAGGTGTTCTCTATGCTTCTCCACCACCACCAAATGGATGTCCCTATTCTTGCCTTCCTCCACCTACCCCTACAGACTGCCCACCGCCTCCATCTTCACCACAGCTACCACCTTCAGGGCCAGTCAACTACCCTCCGCCAATGGGGTATTATTTGCCACCAGGTGGAGACTTTTTACCTCCACCAATGTACGTGTATGGTCCTCCACCTCCTAATCCAATTTTACCTTACCTCCCATTTTACTACAAGAATCCACCATCTGATTACTCTTCAGCTGCAAGTGATCATAATTTGACAAGCAAGTTATTGCTACTATTTACATTACTCCTTATCTGGTCACAGTAATGCACCAAACAAAGGTGGCATATTCAATATTTTTTAGTACTTGGGACCAAGGAAGTTCATGTGCAGCTAGCGCTATCAAGTAATAGTACAAATACCAACTCTTTCTGGGTAAAATCTTCTTTTATCAAGGTTACTTCTCTGAGAGCAACAGTAAAGTGGCAAGTACTCTGATTCTCAATTACTGTCTTCTCTTTTAACTATTTTTGGAAGGAGAAAGTTGAAAGAAAAAACATCTCCTTTTTTTCTAACTGAGTTCTTCCCCTAAAAAATTATCAAAAACCAACAAATGGTTCTGGAGAGGATTTTGTCAAGTATTGGCTGTTTTTTCCCAAACCCAGCCCCCCTCCCTCCTTTTCATTTTTGCCTTATATTTAAGAATTTCATGAATGCACTGGCTGCTATATCTATAAATGCATATAAGTTAAGCATGTAAGTATAAACAAGCAATAAATATATATATATATATATATATATATATATATATCGATGGGGATTCAAATATCAATCCGCCCACAACTGACCAAAATTCTGGAGATGTCAGAAAGAAACAATACAACTCTAAAATATCATGCACTGGCATAAATAGGATCTAACATGGTCAGCTAAATTGACATAATAAATTCAGAAGAAAAATGCTTTAATCCTATAGGCTAAAAGGGGGCATCACCACAAATCTGGTGGCTAAAACTAACCCCTAATTCATCGTTTACATCTTCAGATATACAATCATGTATAGCTCTAGAACCTATAACTATGTCTAAAATACTCCTAATTATTCCATCAGATAAATAGTAATTTACAACAAATAGGCAATGAAGCCAGATATGATTTTGCATATATTGATGTTAACCAACAAACCTGGTGAACTTTCAACATGCTCTCCAATTATGCACTTCCACGGTAAATCTTAATCAGCTGAATCAATTCACAAAACACCAGAGTCCAAAGCTTTGATTGTTTTGCGTCGCCACATAGCAGTTTCCAGATCAAACCTCAACTCCCATGATGGCCAGTAGTGTAAATCCTGCTTCAATGTAAGTACTCGAGGCTTCCCATTCAGGTGGACTGTCCGTACCCGGACAAACTCTCCATGCTCTATTGTCTGTGAAAAGTTAATTAGGCATAAGAACAGGACAGTAACAAGATATCAAGTCAGAAACTTCAAGATCAGTAACAATCATTTTTGTAAGGTAATAGTATTGATATGTGCCAGCCAAAAAGCTCATGAAAGAGTTCATCTAAAATGTATGAGAGCATTACAGGGAGTGTAATGAAAGGAGAAAATCGAGCATGGATTTCAGGTAGGGGTGATAAATGGCCATGTTGAGCTGGATTGGGAGGGGGGTGCATAACCAAACCAACTTTACCCAAAAAAAATTTTAGGGTTTAAGCCTTTTTTAAGTAATTATCTCAATTTTGTCCAATATCATTTTGAATAAACCAATATAACAAATATGAATACTTCTGTTATTAAGGAGGACAAATATGGACACTTTTATACAAGAAAATATCCAAATTTACATGTTTCTATTGGAAACAAATTTAAAACACACCACTTTTACATTTTCAGGTCACTAATAATCCGGCTATTAGCATATCATCTCATACAAGTCCTTAATTCTGGCAAAGCTTCATCATGAAATAGGAAGCTTATTAGCTTGGTCAAAATGGTAATACAACGAATTTCACAAATAAAAATATTTCAGAAAGAGATCTAGATTTAACCATGTATTTTTTTTGTTTTAAAATTATACTATGTTATATTTCATTCAAGATGTATTTTTAAAGCTTTTGGAAATATTGAAACTTATTGTGTGATTATCTTATGATTATTGTTTGCACTACATGACAAATGTGTTGCCCTAATGCAGTGAAAATTGTACAACATCAAACTTATAAAATACACAGTGGTGAATGCAAAATAGAGATACCGGGATCATCTAAATCCAGTATTTCCAATGTAGAGCATAAATTTATCCATAAAAAATTGTTAAAATTGCCACAAATAGCAAGTCTGAACCCATAATTTTATTAATGCAATTAATTAAATACTACAAACTTCATAGGTTGAACCCATAAAACTCAAATTCAATATCCACATACGAAGATCATGGTACAAGAAAAGTGAAAACATAGAAAAAATCAAAGTAAATCTCACGCTCCGATTAAGGTAAATCTTAAAAATGAGTTTGAATTGGGCTAGTATTGGCATAAAAAGGAGATCCCCTTGAAAAAGGATTGTGTAGGGCGAGTTAAAAATCAAATCAATACAAAATTATCTTATCGCTAACTCATAACATTTTGGATAGGCCATCAACTTCTGGGCCATATTTGACACCCCTAGATTCAGGCTCGAGAATGTTTCTTTATACTTTCTGGTAACTAATCATTGTATTAATCATCAAGTGGCTTCAATTAAAGAATAATATAACCAAACAACAAACCGTATGGGTTATCTCAGATGTAAACAAAAAGACTAGAATATTTGTAGTAACCATATTGCACCAAGAACTAAGCAAGGATATAAGTTTGTGTTCGAGATTAAGTACATTATCATTTTTCTCTTAAAATCCTAGTTCCTATCTTTCCAAATGCTCGAAATATGGAAGCAGGAATGGTATACCATTTGGAGATGATCAATAAGGATCTTATAGACTGTTTGGTCAAATTTCTAAAATCAGCTTATTTTAAAAAGTGAGAAGCAGTTTGTGTTTGGCTAATCAAACACTTTTGAGCAGCAATTAGTGTTTGACCAAGCCTTTAAAAAGTGCTCCAAAATGTATTTTCTCAAAAGTGCTCCAAAAAGTATTTTCTCAAAAGTGCTTTCAGAAGTAGTACTTACGGACAGAAGCTACTTTTAAGCATCTCAATAAATAGTTTCTGCTTCTCACTTTTGAAAGAAAAAAAAAACAGTTTGTGCTTCTACTTAAAAACACTTTTTTTTCTCCTATAGCTTGGCCAAAAACCTTTACTTTTGAAAAAAACATTTTGGGCTTGGAGAAACTTGGCCAAACAGGCTGATATTCATAGCTCTTTCCATACACATAATGTATACAAAGCATCTCAAAATAACAAGTCATACCTTCGTGACGTCAACAAAAGCATCCAAAGAGGGAGTTGGTTTTCCATTGACTTCAACTATCCATTGAAGAGCATAAAGACCATACCGATGTACTGGACTTCCATGACACCACCTGAGAGTTACTTTAGGCGTTAATAATAGTGGCATATAGCTAATAGCCAACTCAACAAAAGATACCCAACTGCCCTCTCTTTCTTTTACATGAGATGCATTACAAATACATAATGAAAATTAGAAAGACTCAATCAGCCCTTCATCAGAACAAAGAGTCCCCTCAATGCCTGCTGATCGGTGATGACCCAGGAACAATTACAGCAAACTCTTTTTCTTGAAGTTAATAAATTATGACGAATCCAGTAAACGATTCCCACCATAATATTCCCTTTAAATTAAGTCTTGAAAAGGAGCAGTAAAGAAAAAATGTGTCTTAATTTGGATTTGATTCTTCCGTTTACAATAAATGCATACAGGAAACTTATTTCCTTTTTCCTTTATTTTGCTGCAATTTTCTCAAGAAACATGCTGCCAACTTTCTTGACTTCTAAAAAAAGCTTTCCACAGTCTAGCAATTACTCACCTTGCTACATATACTCCATGGCCTTCATCAGGAAGAAATCCAAGTGCACGTACTGCTGGATGAGGATCTTGGACGATACAACCACACCAACTTATTGCACGACTTGTTCCATTTCCATCCCTCACATCTGTTCCCACAAGCAGTTCAATTTCCTGGCCCTGAGAATTCATCAAATAACTTGGAAGAATTTAAGAGAATGAAGAACTAACTTAAGCAGGACATATTACAATAGTAAAGTTCTTTTGGTCATATATGAGGAAAATGGGGAAGAAAATGTAAACGCGATTTGCCTCAGCGGCTCACCTGACGAAAGATTGTCAAGTTAAGTCTTCCATCGCTATCATTAGACCTGTCTAGTGATTGGCATGCATGTTCGATGTCACGAAAGCATGTAACTGGCTCTTTATTAATTGCTAAGACCATATCGCCTTGTTCCAATAAATTTTCAGCTTTAGATCCAGCAAAGCAACCTTTAACTCGCAATACTTGGCGTCTCATGGGATCCTTCTTTACGAGGGCCTAGAAGGTATAATATGTATCAAGAAAAGGCTTACATCAGACACATGGTGCACCCATTTCAAACATCTTCTGCAGATTATCTAATTTGTTTTGTAAGCTCACCAGGCATAAAACCAAGTACTAATTATAAAACGGGAAGAAACAGGAACTTAAATAGTCTATATTTAAAAAACAAGAAACTAGGGAAAATAATTTGAGTAATCATAGATGCCCATGATCAATGATCAAGTTGCATCCATGGATCTCCCATCCAACCAAAATCCAAACATATAAGAAACTAGATTATCTTACCATTATATTATCGCCTAGATCTCTGCTACTAGATTATATTATCGCCTAGTTCTCTACTACTTGAGGATTGATATTAAAGCTTTAAAGAGAGTTTGAAACCTAATCTGACCAAAACAAGCCTAGGTTGTTGGAAAAAGATTTTTTAAAAAAACATCTAGTTTATAAATGTGTTTTCGCTAATGTCTTTTTAAATTAAAGACAATAAAAAGAAAAAATACACTCGGGATAAGATACGGATAGAAGGAAAAGCAAGAACAGGAAATGACAAACCAAACAGATATCTCCAGAACTAGTAGCTTACCTGGATCCAAGTATCATTGAGTCCAAAACTTCGAGCTTTGGAAAGCAAAGTAGGGTAAAGTTCAACTTCCAATATTCTTAACCGAGGCATAGGTCTTTGCAAACCATTTATAAGACGAGGAGGTCCGTCGGCACCGGAAATAATCTTGCCAAGGACTTGGCTTATGGTATAAATTGGAATACCTCGGACAAATTGGTGATCTTCTGACGAACTACAACCATACTTGAGCTAAAAACGGAAGAAGCATAACCATTTAATTAATCAAAAAAGAAGCTCTAAAACTAGTTACATCCAATTAACAAGAGAGAAGCATCAGTTGGGAGTACAAACCTGCGTTGAAAAGCTTCCCCATAGAGCTTGAACCCTGCCACGCTCATCAGTCAGCACACCAGAAAATGTACTTCCAAAATCTGAAATGAGAATCATATGGAATCAAAGAATGCCCAAAACAAATGCCAAAACTACTATAGAATTAGAGAATCAAGAAGGCCATAAGTGGGAGAGTGTTACCCGTGTCAAGCTCAATCACTTCCAAGTTTGTTGCTCTGTAACGTGGACAATCAGCAGAACCAATATTCACAGCAGCAGATGGGTTGGTCACAACCGATTTTCTGGAAGTTGCCTGTAGACTTCTGCTCAATCCCACAAGATACACTGAATCTCCACGACGAAGAGCAGGATCTATTGGCAACAAAATTCAAAATTTAGACAAACATTAGCAAAATTATTAACGGATAAGACAGCCATTTTCTGGAAGACATGATAACTAGAGCAAGTTAATTGAACCTACAAGGGTTCCACTTGCCACAATGGTAATTCAAAGACATACCATTCATCAGTAAACTTTAATTACATTGGAGCAGGGGCTTCATTTTTATATATTGTTCATATAGTCCATTAAGATTATAAAACAATCCCATATACATTTTCAGCAAGAGAATAATCAGTAAGGATTACGGAGTGGGAAACCATTTTTATAAACTCGGTTACAAGACCATTACCACAATACGATGTAAAAACAACAATATAGTGAATAAGAGGAGAAGACAGATAGTGCTAAAGCTGGATTATGTTCTGAAACAACAAAGTATATTATGATCAGAGCTGGATGTTCAAAACGCCATTCAATAACTAGGAGCTTTTCTAAATGCTCCCGTGCAGGCATCTTCTGACAAAGGAGTACATCTAACAGCACACGAGAAGCAATTGGAATGGAAATTGATGAAGTAATAAGTGAATACGTGTCTATATTCATTGTACTAGAATAAGGAAAATCATATAGAAGTTTTATAGGATACTAAGGATATTAAGTCTTTACTTGTAGCATATTAACTTAATTTGAATAGGGATTGATTACCTTCAATATTTGTATACAGCCTTAGATTCCTATACTAGGAGTGATAGGATCAGGAATGAAACTATTTAGGACAAAATGACAGTAGCCTCTCTGGTGGACAACATGAGGGAGGAGGGGCTGAGATGGCTCAGACGTGTGAAGAAAGATGAGCAGATGTCCCAGAGAGGAGGTGTGAGATGTTGGCCAAAGAAGTCTCGGGGAAAGGTGATTAGACAGGGCATGGCTCACTTACAACAAACTGAGGACATGACCCTGGGAAAACAGGAAGGTCGAGGCTAATGATAAATGGTAAGTAGGTTGAGCTTTGTCTAGTTCCCTTATCAGTATTGTAACTATTACTCTCATACTATCTTATTCTTTGATTATATTATTACATGTTGTTTCCTTTGCTTCAGCTATCGTATTATTTGTCATTGCTACTGTTCTCATCTTCATTGTTTTCAGCATGGTTTCCTCGCTATTGTATTTGTTTCACATACTTATTTTTTTATATGCTTAACTTGAGCCAAGGGTCTATCGGAAACAGACTCTCTCTCTACCAGTGTTGTGAAAGGCAATCGCCTCATCGCCAATGGCAAGAGGCGAGGTGACCCTTTATCGCCCTTTAGCTTTGTGGCGAGGCGATCTTCAAAAGGCGATGTCATGGCAAGAAAGGCATCACCTTTTGTATTTTCTTTTCAAAAAAAGGCAATCAATTTAGGGTTTTAAAAGTTCTAAGGTTTTTAGGGCTTTCTTTCCAAATTTGCACGATTGCACTCTTAGACTACAACTACGACTCCAACTAGTTAACTCGACTAGACTTCTCCGGTGACCGGCCAGACTTTTCCAACGACTCCAAAGTCCAACCAATACGTATATCTTCTTTTCTTCTTCTAATTTCTTCTTCCACTGTTTCTTTTACTTTCTTCTTCAAACTTCATAGTTACTTCTACCTCTGTTTTTTTCTCACTGTTTTGACTTTTGTTCTGTTTTTTTCTCATTCAAGTTCTAGACTTTTGGTATGTACTATCTATTTTCAGTTTTCAAATTGAAATATTCACTAATATGTTGTTGCGATTGAGATTTTGATTATTTATACATGCAAGTGAATATTTTAATTTTTTGGTATTAACAGGCGCTGCACTACAAAAAGGCGAGCGCCTCGGCCCTCGCCTCGCGGCGAGGCAGACCCTTGTCGCCTTTCGCCGTCCAAAACAATGCTCTCTACTTACTTCAAGGTAAAGGATAAGGTTTTCACACACCACCCTCATCAGACCTCACTTGTGGTGCGACAATACTCCTTAGACTAAAAACAGGTGCCCCTTGTCTCCAAACAATCATTCAGGCGACATACCTCTCTTTAGGATCATTTAAGCATTATTCATATTTCCAGTGACTAGAAATCGACTACCAACTCCCTCCTCTACACTTCTGATTTATTGTCATTGTTCTGCCAATTCAAGTTACACCGATGATGTTCTAAAAATCAGCAGTACTAAATATCTTTGTGATGATTGAGAATAGATTCATTTCCATGTATAATGCAAGAAGCACTTTCTTTTTTATCATGCACCAGCAACTTCAACCGGAAAGAATTCAAGGACCGTTTTCCTGTTTGGTGATTGTGCACTAGTGAGATTTTAGTGTCAGCTTTCTACGTTTTCAAAATAAACAAATTGTTTCAGCACTTTAGTTTTGAAGGAGACATGTTTTAGTAGCAAGTGAATATGTCTACTTTTGTGGTGAACTACAAAAAAGACAAGCATAAAGAATCAAGAGAGGAAGTTCCCACTTACCAGGAAGAAGTTCAGCAGCACGAACAGCAGAAGCAGCAGCAGTTCCTAGAGCAGAAGGATCATATGCAACCAGAGCAAAATTATGGACAGGGTGGAGGAAAACTACCTGAAAATATTACCGACCTCCTCAATAAAGTTTTTTATCATAGCAGGTAAAAGTGTTAACAACAATAGTTATTACCTCTCCAGGAATCTCAATAGGAAAAGCAGCAAAAGATAGCATTATATCAGAAACTGATACTGCAACAGTGTTTTTGTCAACTGCAACCAAGCCCATGTTGTGGGAATGGTATACGATAGCACCAGTTCCAAAAAAATGCTGTGAGTGAACTCCATCAAGCATGCATAACGATGGTACATGGACCTGCAATTCCGAATAATGAGAGGCACACCAAATTCAGATAATGGAGATAGGAATAACCATAGAACCATACATGTCTAGACATACCTTTCAAGTCTCAACTGCAACAATTAGTATGATTTTTCATATTACATATTTACTAGGAGAACATACGACAATCTTAACCAGCAGTTACCAAAAGAAAACCAGCAGTTTGTAACGTTATTCAGCATTTTCTATGTTCTACAACAGGGTAAAAGAAAGAAACAAAACGAATGATTAAGATTTGGACCTACAAAACAGACAATGATTGCGATAGATTCAGATCTTCACTAAGTGCAAACAATACGATAGGTGGCCAATCTCTAAGTTAATAAAGTAACTTGTTAAGATGTCCCACATCGGTAGAGGGATGGGAATTTGGCCTCCTTTTATGGACTTGGACAAACCTCCCCTCAAGAGCTAGCTTTTGGGGTTGAGTTAGGCTCAAGTGTCATATCTTTACATGGTATCAAAGCAGGGGCCATCTCACCCAATGTTTGGGCCCAAAATAATCAAAAAATTGCCTAAAATTACCCACGCACCACATGCTAAGCACTGGGCATGAGGTGGGGTGTTAAAGCAAAAAGTCTCACATTGGTGGTTAATGAGGGTGGAGTCCTTATAAGGCTTGGGCAATCCTCCTCCCTTTGAGCTAGCTTTTGGGGTGTAAGTTAGACCTAAGTCCTAATTTAAGAGCCAGGCCTATCTCAATTTGTTGTTCACCGATGATGGCCCCCATTTAGAAGTGTTCACACTCCAGTTGAGGTCTGGGCGTGCGGAGGATTGTTAAGATGTCCCACATCGGTAGAGGGATGGGAATTTGGTATTCTTATATTAACTTGGACAAACCTCCCCTCATGAGTTAGCTTTTGGGGTTGAGTTAGACCCAGGTGTCATATCTTTACATAACTAAACATTCTAGCATCATATATATTTGATATCTTCAGGTATCCTGAAAATTATCTATCAGATTTTCCTTCTTAAAGTGCAATGAATCTAGACATGTATGAATTCACACACATATTATCTTTGATATTCTCACACAACCTATTGAAAAAAATTGTCCAAAGAAGGATCCCACCAAAAGGAGACATTCCCTACCAAGAAAAAAGGTGGCATACCCTATACACACATACATTGCACTTACCTAAGTTGTGCGGACTCTTCATTTTTGTTGCCGCACCCGTGTCAACACGAAACGGGTGCGGATGCGGGATACGTGTGGGATTTGGTCAACCCACATCAGATACTTTGACCAGAGTCCATGGACAAATTTGGGGGAAATTTGAGATTTTGATAAAACAAACGAGGAATGGCATACCTTCAATATTATAGTCTTTTTTGTCTCTTTTTTAGCTTTTCCTCTTGGTCAATATTCGTTGTTTCATGTTTCAAGCCAGAGTTGGTGGAAGGTCTTGAATGACTTTCTTTGTCTTTTTTGAGGGGAAGAACCAAAGAGCTTGAAAGAAGAATTTGAGGGTCTTGGGAAAGACAACCTAGAAGATCTTTCATAATTTAGAATATCTTTATAGCTTTATTTTATAATTTCCGATTTTTAACCGAATCCCAGCACCCATATCCATATCTGGATCCGTAACCCTGAATCTTAAAATTTAGATTTTGCCGAATCTGACCCTCGGATACCCGCATCCAAATCCGAGCAACTTAGGCACTTACTATTGTGCTTAGAATAATAAAATCTTTTCTCTCTTTTTGATGAAGTGATTGTTAAATAACTGGCATCAAGAAGATGCTGAAAACAGTACAAAGAAACTAGGGGAAGCTCCTAGAAACAAAAACATACAGAGAGAGCATTGAACCATTTTCTCTTTTTCTTTGAAAAGTACTTAGACGATAGAATCTACCCCCAAGTAACCACGGAGAGAAAAGGATTTGGTTTGCAAAAAAGTTGTGCATACATTACAATATTGAGATTGTTATAAGATATAGTGCACGAGTAAATCTGAATTTTCTTTCAGATGTTTGATTCATCACTATCAGAAACTGAATTGAGTAATCAAAATCTTTGGGTATTACACGTTTATTGCTATTGCATGTGGATCAGATAAAAATAATACACCCTTGCAGCATTACTACGGCGGAGACTGAATATGCAGAAGCAAAAAGAAAGGAACCAAACAACTGATAATCAAAGCATGGTTTAATGAAAGGGGTTATTTCTAAATACTGGTAACTCAATAACCCCTATAGACCAATGTTTATTAGGTGAAACTGCTTAGGAAATAAGATCCCACTTCAGTAATGCAAGTAACACAAGAAACAAGCATAGGTGAAAACTAAAGTTACCTCGAACATAACAAGGGTAGGCTCTATTGCACGCTCAGCAACAGAGGCATTATTAGCCACAGGAGCAGCACCTTGATCCTCCACGGCCCCAGAGTCATCAAACCTTTCCTCTCTATGTCCATTTAAAGAGCGGCCAATTATTACATCACCATCCGCAGATAAGTTTTCTTCCACCCTCCGTTTCTTAGTTCCAGCATCAGAATCATCCTGACTGTTTAGTCCCACTGTAACATTATCACAACTGATCTCCGTATTGGTAACTCCATCCATTGATTCTTGGCTGACTTGTTGAGGCCTAAGATCCATTGCACTAACCTCAGTAGCACAAGAAGAAACACTATGATTTGACAAATCTTGTTTGCCTGGATGAATGCCAGAGAATAGAAGTGGAGACTCAGGTGGCAAGGCAAGTTTCACAGTCCATAAACCAGAGCTGTCATCGCGTTTATATATCTGAGGAGATGCATACCATTCATGGCGGTCAATTGTGACCAGTACAGACTGCAGCAAAAACAAGTTTCTATGAGAAAGCCTTGGTACAAAGAGATGATAAAAGCGCCAAAGACTATTCTATATCTACCAACAAGAAGAGTCAAATTAACATTCATAATATCTGCAAAAACTACACACTTTTCATTCTTTGGGGATTCTTTTTGTGAATATATGTTTCTGACTACTACACCTTCACAACTCATTGTGTTACTAGGCTTGACGTTCAAATGGTTAACTACACTAGAAGACTAAATCACAAGACTGACAATGTTACATGCAGGTGAAATTTGTGATCATCTATATCATACACCACATCAAACATACAATTCTTCTGATAAAATCAAAAACCATTAAGATAAATCCTAAAATCGATACACAGATTCAAGTTTTCTTGCCATGATCCCAAACTTTGGGTGACAACAAAAGTTGACATGTTATTAAATTTTCCTTCTGATTTGACGCCGCTCTCAAAACAAGATAAACTCCTGCTCTGAGACATAAGTAGTAGCCGACTGTAGATCCACTAGGATCCATAGTTTTTTACCGTGGTTTACGCAGAAATAGTAAAGCCAACAGAAGTCGGTATTTGTGAATCTGTATACCAATTTAGAAGTAGATGTTAAAAAAATCATCATGATTTGCCAATAAACAGAAGGAAATGGCAGTTGAGAGCAAGAACTACAGATACAGGTGAATAAAAAGAGGAAACAATTGTTTTCTGGAAGATATCAAAGCACGTGTACAGAAAATCAACATAAGAAAAGAGGCACTACTAATACCTTTTTCCGGTGACGATCATTGTAGCTTATATACTCCAATGGTACTCTTGCACTCCTAGACAACTTGGATAAAGCAGAAATTAATTCTTCAAGGGTCGATATATCTTTTCCGGCAAATTTTTTAATGATGGCATGGCGAGGAACTCCTGCTCTAAATAGCATATATCTACAATACCAAAGAAGTTTATAACTGTCAAACATTCTTTTTCCAGTAAAATACTCCTAAAGATAGCATCAACGGAATTTTTTACTTAAACCAGAAACATTTTCGAATACAAACTGTTAGATAAAGCAAAATAACATAAGTCAATGACTGCAGCACAGCAATTATCTAAACAAGGAAAGAAGATGTACAGACCCTGTTTCTGCCACGTAGACAAGACCACAGTGAAAGCGGAAATTTCGAGCCTGCATTAAAAGAGGAGGAGAGAGAGAGAATAAAGCAGAAACGTGAGCTTCAATCATACTCAACAGATAAGAGACAAATTATCAATGAGTCGAATGTGCAAAAGAAGGGTCTTCACTTAAAAGTTCAAATACAAACTACATGACTAAAACTGCAGTACAGGGAAAACCTCTTTATGCGGGAAGACAACCAGAATTCTATCCCTCATAAAGTATCGGCACTAATATAGAAAGATGGGAAAAAAGTATTTCCTCGCTCAGGAATTGCAAGTTGAGCAACAAGACATTTATAAAAAAGCTTAACTAGCTAAAAAGTAACCAAAAATGTTTGCTTGGAGAAGTTTGAGAACTATTTAAACGAAATTGTCAACCAAAAGAACCTAACAGATTGCAAAAGCCCTGAACCATCAAAGTCAAATGGTACTCTAGGCACGTGTTACTTTTCAACTATCAGACGCCTGACTACAAGCACCCAGGCATAACATGTACATACCAAAAAAAAAAAAAAATGGTTGCTTCTATTGTGCCTACATTCAAACCCTCCTAAGCTTGTTATGCTCATATAAGCAGCAAAACTAAAGACAAACCATAAAAGCATGGATGAAACAGATAAAAGCCACTTTCCAGTTCTACACATATAGTCGCATTGTCTTCCAGAAAGAGAACATTTTGAGTATGAACAATTGGCGTGGTCAACAATATCTCACATGACCAGAAGCAGACTGCTAAATTTCTTTCTCAAACAAACCTATTAGCAAGATAAATAGGGGAAAAGTCACAAAACATAGCATCTTAACACCAATTCTTCCCTACTGACTGGTTATAAGTTCATTTGACAAAGGAATGAGTATAATGATTAGAACTCATTTTAGAAGGATTAACAGATAACCAATGTTGCTAAATACACATTAAAAATTGTACGGCACTAGCGGAAGAATCTTGCAAACCTGTTGATAAGAAAGGGGATGAATAACTGCACCACTGACTTCCAAGAAGCGGTCAGGAGTAATTGAATGCAAATCCTGAACCTGAAGGATACACGAGCAGATGAGTCATATTGACAGCTTTAACCCTTTCTTCTAATAAAATTTAGTTACTCCTTGAAAAAATGGGCACTACAGTTCTCAAATAGAAAACCGCTCGGCAATTACACTGAAAGAGAGAATCGAAATTGATCAAAGATTTCTAAAACCAAACGAAAAGGGAACGAATAAATCATGGATCAACTAGGACCTCCACCATAGCTAAAAGATAATATACCACTTCGCAACTGAATTTTGTGACAAAGCAAAATTACCACAGGTAAGGTTAAGCGGGACCACATCAATTATGAGTGGGCAAGCTTTTGTATCTTCTTCATTTACCATTACTATTTACAAGTTCTTTCCTACTGGTAGTATGGACAAATATGACAAAATAACAAAAGAAGAACAAAATCAGAAACAATACCTATAGGTATAGTTCGGACTGTTATTGCTGCTCTGGGCTATTGGTAACTCATCTGTCCACAATGTCTAGAAAAATTGGACTCTAGATAAGCATTGGTAACTCACTCACTAGCAGACAATTCATTCATCATATTTTACAATTATCTCGTGTATTATCAAGGATAGGAAATGTGAACGGCCATTTCGATAAGCAACACATATCACAATAATTATGATTCAACGAGATTGTTAGAATCCTAGGAATATTCTATAGCATATGTGCAAATATAGCAAGTAGCTTGATTTACGCCTAGATTTACTCTAGCTTGATTTGATATTGATTTGTATTGATTAGGTATTGATTTCCTTTCCTTTTTAGGACATGTCTACTTAGTTATTGAAACCCCAATAGCTTGTGGGAATAATCAAGTTGAGTTCTCTCTCAAACTCTTGTCTTCTCTTCCATTTAAATCACAAATTTGTTGACCGAGATCTCGCCTACATTAAGCATCATACAAGTTTTTGTTTGTTTTGATAAGGTAAAGGTTTATTAACAGAGTACCAAGAGTTATAAAAGACTGCTGGGAATATCCATGCAGTCAATGACAACATCTCCCTAGCAAGCATCATAGAAGTATATAGGCACCTGAATGAATTAACAAATCATGCTAAAACCAACCCAAAGGCTAATTGAGATGAACCAAAATCCTAATCATTTTGACAACTATGATGTAAGAATATAACCTTCTATTTTAGAAATCATAGAAATTTCAACATTCAAGGAACACTCACCAATAGTTCCACTGTCATTGAGGTTCCACCCCTTTCTATTTGAAGCTCAACTTTCTGCCCAACACTGTCATCAAGTAAAGTCTCCATCTTCAGGAACTGAGTAATCACCTGAATGAAGCTTATGGAAGGAAATCAGTTCTACGAACCATCAAATGAATGATTTTCCAATTATATAAAGAAGCAATTGCCAGCAATGTTAAGTTTATGTATTCATCTTGGTCTGAGGAAAAAATTGGAGAACTAGAACTATCTTTTGCCCATGTAACACACTGTCAAGAGGAAGGATAGATAAGTGCATGACTTTGTTAAATTAGGCCCCTCATTCAACCTGGTCCAATGGTTGGTTCTTGAAAATTGAAGTAGTTCTGCAGAATCTAGATGCAGTGATAGAGGAAAAGAGAGCGGACGATATGAGCCAAACAGATGTATTTAATCAAAGTTCCAATAAGTAATGCAGAGAATCAGAGCACAATGAGGACATCACAGTCATCAATATAAGTTCCCTACAACAACAAAGCCAGACTAACCTCCCCATTCATACGAACAAGCACATCACCAGGCTCCAAATGATTGTGAGCTGGGCCACCAGGTACCTGCAACAATAACAGAGAAAAAATTAAGTGTTGATACATAGAAGTATAGTATACTGTGTCAGGACACTCGAAAGAAGTGCACTTACCACAGAATCAACGACAAGCATTCCAGTCTCACTGGGTGGAGAGGAATTGCGCACCAACTATTCAAGTAAAACTTCAAAAGATTATGTATCATTATATTAGTAATAGAGCTTGTAACAATATATTTTAGTGCTTACCTGCTCTGTGGCACTAAGGAGGCCAAGCCGGCGAGTTTCATCATATCCTTTGTGGAGAAAAGTTACCTATATGAAAAACATATATACCATTAACCAAGTATACTTGTGAAATTATGTGTTCCCTAACTTGACCTATCCTGCTTTCTCTTTGATTTGAAATGGCATGCTCCATAATACACGTAATTAATGTCTGTTTTTGGGGTTAAAGAAGCTTGTGCAAAAGAAGATATTTATGAGATTAGAGAGAAGTTCCTCATCTCTCTTAGACCTTCTGTCTCTTATAAACTACTGTAGTTTTATATTCGAGTAAGCTACATGTCACATGGATGCAGATGCAGAATAGCGGTCAGCCAAAGAGAAAGACTAACTCAAAAAGGCCTCACGAACCTTTACAGAATAAAACCCATTAAGATCATCTCAGAGGACTCATGTACAATTTATCATGCAAACACAATCTAATGTACTACCATCCACCATGATGGACAATCTGGAAGGGAAGGAATTCTAGATGTTTTGAGAATGTTGAGAATGGAGTGCAGAAGAACAAGTTGAACTTCATCTAGCTTTTGTGTTTTTGGAATAATCAGATTTACTCAAATGATACTGTTCAGTCTTTTTCAGGTGACAAAGGAACCTGCAGCCTCTACCCTTTGGGTGCGCATATGGTAAAACCTCAATCATGTGCAATAGCTCAATCAAATGATATTTGTTTCTATTATTGATGATGTTTTAGATTCAATCTACAGTAGAACTTGAGAGTCCTTATGCAAATAGAGTTTCAGTACAACCCATGTACTGCTTTGTTCATTTGATATATAGATACAGCTACCAGTTTCAAAAAAAAAAAAATAGATAGTGTCTCACAATAAACAAAATTGAAAGAGCAATCATTCACAGAAGCAATCACTTCCAGGGAAATAAAGTTTAAAAAGGTACTGTAATGGAGAGAAGCAGAGCTAACAAACCTGAAGCGTACCACGATGAATAGTAACAGCCTCCCATTTATTTGTGGTAAGATCCAATCCTTCCTGTAAGAATTCCAGTGCCCTGACAACCTATAAACACAATAATAATTATATAAGTGTTTGTGGTTTTTGTTCTCAGGAGTTAACCATGTTTTTGTGTATGTAATTTGCATCTCCTTGATGCCTTTCAAATACAACATCTTACTTCATAAAAAAAATTATACAAGTGTTTGTGTGTCCGTTAATTAATACTAATTGATTTCCTTAATAACAGAGAAAGTTCAGACCTTAACCAGCAATACGGGTTTGGGGGTAAAAGATTCCGGGAAACAGAAAATGTTCAATGCCAGCAAATAAGGAACCAACATGACTCATCAAGGCAGTTAAAAGATTTGAGAAGGAAAGACACAATCAAACATAAACCCTTCACTAGGAAAATAAGATAGACAAACACACAGAATATGGAAAGCTTGTGACCATCTGTACTCCCATTTTTTGTAAGAAGTTAATCATAAAAGGAAAAAGACTATTATCACATAGTAATTGCAAATAGAATAGGCCATAAAATAGAGTGAAGTCATGTAAAAAGAAACTTAAGGTTTCAAATTCCCTCAAAGATATCAACCTACTTCAAGGATGACAAATGAGTAATAGCAGGAAAGAACCATAATAGGAAAAAGAAAAAAAAAAATCAGTGATTCAATGAAATAAAAAAGTTGGATCCTATAACCCATAACAGTACAAAGAGACAAAAAATATTATGGAGATACATACATGCGACCCTGCATATCAGGGACAAGTGCACATTGACAACAGAAAACCCAGAAGAAGGAAAAGTTAAAAAAACTGATCAAATAAATGATATAGTTTCCAATATAAAAGACTTAGGAACAGGCAGAAAAGAAATCAACATGAAAATAACCAATTCCAGAGAAATATAAAATATTTACTGTTTGCCCATTCAAGAAGTCAATAAAGACTTTTGCAATGCTATAGTGTTGTTGGAAAACAATAGTCTCTGACAATACTTCTCACTAGTTAAGGTAAGAAAATTCAAGTTTAACTAAGGGTCAACTGTCAAATGCACACTTCCCACAGTTCAGAAATAGAGCATAGAGAGGTCTTTAACAAAGAGAAGATCAAAGAATGTACTCGTTCTAATGGCAAGAAAAATGCAGAAGCACTTGATGACTTGCTTCCAGCATTCAAAGCGACAGCTCTCCCTTGCCAATTTATTACAGGGGAGCCACTTGAACCACCTTTCGTCCCAGAAGCAGCCTGTTGGCAAAGAACACAAAAGTAATTCAATAACTATAGTCCTGAAAAGTTGGGGTAGAAGTGTGTTGATGACCTAAAATAAATAACCTTCTATTTTCCTCTATAACAGCTTTTAACATATAGATGAGGTGGATTCACAGAGTAGAGGGAACATTTTTATTTATTTTCTATCTACCCCCCCCCCCCCCCCCAAAAAAAAAAATATATAAAAAAAATTTTTTTTACAAATTTTTTTTATTTTTTTTTTTTTTTTTTTAAT